CAAACTGCATATTAATATCAAAGCAATAATGCTTCCTTGAAGACATATTAAGGACATTCGAACAATTTCGTGTGTAGGAAAGTGCAAATACATGGCTGGGGTCCGTTTGGACCCCAGACGGTCTCACATCAGACTTCAGTTGTTATTTTTACAAATGTGTGCCGATCTCCAAAAAAAATTAAGAGAACTTGTAGAAGAGGTTTACTGACAAAGTCACGGGAGAAGAAAATAAATTCAAATAGCACATAAAAATATACGTCTGGGGTCCAAATGGACCCCGTTCGGGTGTTTGAGGGTTAAACATTCCAAAATACTTCTTAGTTATACACCCATTCCATTTAGGAATCACAGCATCATTGCAGAAAACAGAAATCATATCATGAGCTTGTAGTAGCTTTAAATTTTGTTGTGGTTTGTTTTAGTTTTTTTTTACCCCTGACCTTTCCAATCTAGAATCACTACACTGTACTTGTAAGAGTTTCCACCTCCCCAGTGCATCACTGACTTAACCACATAATCTTTCAACCACAGACTTTAAAAAAAAATTAAAAAACGTAACTATCTATTTTCCCACAAACCGCAAAGTACAGCCCCATTGAAAATCAATGTAAACGGTATACGCGTCATGTAAAACAGTGCCAAGTCATTAAACTGGATCACCCTGGATAGATAAATAATCTAATTCTTTACGGTTCACTGTGGCAAATGTGATGATGTTGACACATTGGCGCACCAACAACGTAGTGTGTTATGGCACAGTTAGACAGATTAGCCTAAGAGGCTCGGTGGGCGTCACTCCACCGTACAGGAGGGACGTCATGTAACGTGCCTTTCCCAAGGGCACAACTTCGGCCCAAGGCGAGACCGCGACCTGAATTCTTCCAAGTCCGAAAAGATAAATATAACAAAATACATGGAAATAAATCAACAAAAGAAAAACTAGCCGATACATGGACACGCACCTTGTCAGACTCCTAAATATGAAACATGAATCCTACCTGATGTGCAGAATCATAACTTTATTTTAGATTTTAACTGTCGAATTTTAATTGTAGTTTTAGAGTTATGTTAGAGAAATCAAGAATTCTGTCTAAGAAACATGTGAAAGTAAATGCGACTCAGGGTCGGGGTCACCTGCGGTCATTTACAATAAAGCGACAAAACAACCCCTTCTGCCTGAGTGCCTCGCAACAGATAAAAAAAAACACGTTTCTACACATACAAACAGTTTTCCTGGACAGTACATGTCCGCTATCATTTTTTTGGGGAGATGTAACATGTAGCGAAGCTACTGTCGTATCCTTTGGTGACCTTGAATACTGTAATGGTTCGTTACGCCTGTATGAATAACAGAATGCACACTTTTGGGCGATATGACATGTCTGCAAAACTCGTTCAAAGCTGGAGGCATGGAGAGTCAAACATACCCCATTTACGGCTCAACATGACCGTTACGGTTGTCCCGAAAATCGTGTTTCAGGGATTTTTGGAAAATGGCCTCAATTTTGAATTATGGGTAATTTAGTGAGAAAAAAGTTAAACAATGCAATTTTTTCACCAATATGTTGACAAAAACTAGACTTAAAACCAGAAATTAAAAAAAAAATTCCGAAAACACGACTTTTGATCTTGTTCCTAAACGTTGAAAAATATAAAAAAATCTGGGGTAATACACGTAGCCAGGTTTGAACGATGTTTGCCTGAAAACATGACAAGACGAAAATAATCGTCTTTATGAGCAAAATTAAAAAAAAAAATCAGTGATTTAAAATAAAAAGCTAACATTAAAAGGATGTTAAGACGATGATTTTATTTTAATTTGACGAAATTTACCGCTAAATACTATTTGTTTACTTTCAAATGTTTTACGGGTAGTCCGAAACAGGCCTAAATAGCGTCTTGTAACCCAACATATTTTCGAACGCGCCTAGCAATGGGAAAGAATGCCGTAGTGACGGACCGCCGTGTGTGTGTGTTTGAGCAAAATTTAACAATTCATTTATTAATAATACTTTCCCATACCTCTATGTTTGTGGCCCCCACCATGTGCCTCCTCTGGCTTGCAGTGCTGACTGAAGCATGACTCCATATGTGTCGCCTCTCCCATGTTAACATGTATAGCAGGGATTTTTGTTTGCGCAGTGTATTTCAAGCCGGAGGTCAGGAACACATTTCTAAACTCTAGATCCACGTCTTCGTACTGATGGTCTGCTTCTACGTATTCCTGTCCTGTCGACCTCTTTGGGCCGTTGAATTCCATATCTGTGTCCGGAGAAAAAAAAGTAATGATTCTTACACATTTGAAGAAACATTGATACAGTTGGATATACATTATTCATGCAAGGATCGCTTGCCTTGTTTACATCATATACAGACAAATTATTTGACGACATATGCAAATTACATGGGTAGGCAACCGACCGTCACCTTTTTTTTGCCTGCCACTCACTAGTCGTGACGCCATAATGGTATTATTTGTTTTAGGATATGTTTTAAGAGAAACTATGGATGTTGGGACTTCAAAATGCCCTATCAGAACGTTGTGTTATGTCATGTGATGGGGTTGATTTAGAGTAAGAAATCGTCGGTATGGGGGGCCTAGAACAATTGACAAGGAAGACCTATTTCTACATACCACCCAGTGTATTGAATAACATAATGAATGACAGGAAAATCTTTCTTGTCTTAATAATCTTTAAAGGCCTTCTTTCTAGATAAATTCAACTTCATACACTGGAAGTATCTGATGTACACTCGCTTATATCTATAAAGTGAGTGATATAATGAACACGTTATAGGGCTATATGTTTATGGTTCAGCATGGTCGTCATAATTTTCCGCTGTAGCTATAGACATGTTTTATGCTTGGATCTGATCAGAATTAAAAAGGTTGAGCCTCAAAACAGCCTGGTAGATGAGTACAAATTAAAGCAACTTTTTGAATATTTGACGGGGCCCCAATTTAAAAATGCTACAAGGTGGAAAAGAAACCTCAATCCCCGTATGAAAGACATGGAGAAAAACAAGTTAAGAATACAGATCAGTGTTACAAATACCTTTAGTTGACCAGCATGCTGACAGCCAAGACATTTTGTCGTACCTACAAGAGGCGATCAGAATTATTGAACTAGAATGGCGTGGCACCTTGCACAAGAAATTTCTTTTGTTACGCAAGCATATCGTACCAGACTAATTAGCAAGCACATGACTAGAATGAGTTTACGAAAGAAGCACTATTTTATTCATCGGGGTTAAAAATACCATCTGCATATGCAGGTTAGTGCAAGTAAAATTGGAGCTGTGCAGGTATATCTGATGTCTTCCTGCACCTAACCTGCACTGGTCCATGTATTTTATATGAAAGATAGTGCAGGTAAAATTGGAGCTGTTCAGATATTTCTGAAGTCTACCCGTATCTAATTAACCTGCACTGGTCCATGTACTAGGTATATGCAGGTTAGTGTAAGTAAAATTGGAGCTGTGCTGGTATTTCTGATGTCTACCTGCACCTAACTTGCACTGGTCCATGTACTGGGTACATGCAAGTTAGTGCAGATAAAATTGGGGCTGTGCAGGTATACCTGATGTCTACCTGCACCTAACCTGCACCAGTCTATGCACTACATTTATTAGTACTTGTGTGTGGGCTGATACCACCTGCATGTTTACAGAAATGTTAAGGAATAGTACAAATTTATACCGGACAGTGGACACGATGGATAATCCTGGCTGTGTATTCTAACCTGTTTTGAAATGGGCGCAGGACCATTACATTACAGAACCCACCGAACACTAATATAGTAGTGACGTATAACTTTATATTCTTATCCATCCAACAATTAAAGTGAGATCGTTGCATTTACAAGACAGTTTTTGTAATAACCTTAGCTCAACTAAACAGTCATTTGCAGCAGCATTAAACGGACAACATTAATTCATCTAAATTTACATCTATTAGAAGAAATGGATTCTAATTTTTTTTTTACATATAAGGTTACAAACCTTAACATGATCTTGGCTACTAGTTTCTACTAATGACAAGATTGCTTATTTTCTTGAGTCACTATTTTCCCTATAGTTGTATCATTGACCCATTATATTGTAACACGCACATGTGCATACATGTGTTGTGGGGGCGAACATATGTGCTGTTCCATTTCTACCACCTCCATTTAATTACCTGCCACAGTATTTGTCTGAACATTTTCCTACATTCACCCTCTACAGTTTGCTGCCACCAAAAACAATTCAATCAATTTTGACTTATATTAAAGAACTATAGTCCTTATTGTACTAAAAATGCAACACAATAATGTATGAGTAATATTTCTAGTATGCTAAGACAAATTTAGTCTCTGATTTTTTTTTTAACTATCATTACTATACCTGAAATGAACAATATGAGAATAGCTTTTTCTCTACGTGCTCAGCATATCCAGAATGGTTCAATTACGGCTCTAAAGATGAAACTACTATGATCACAATCATAACTGAAATACGCAACTAACTATAGGATAATTCTGACCCACCGTGCATAATACAGACAAATTTGAAATACATCCATGAATTAACGTAGACGTTGCATTTATAATTAAATAATCAGTATAAGAATAATGTTTTGATTCACAATTTGAGCATGCTAACATAAGTGTATGATGGGGTTATAGCTTTACTACTGCGTCAGTTGATTCATGAATTACTATTTTTCTGAAAAAAATTCCACTGTTTTAGAGATGCTCCTGTGTCAGACAAAGACCCAAACTGTAATTACAATGCATGAAAAGGGTAATGATTATTAATACTTAATAGTTTATACACATGAGCATCAACATTTACATGAAAACAAACATTTAAAAAAAATCAAGAACTTTAGCTACTCCGGCATCCCTTTAAAATTCCCCTCATGAAATCCTCCAGAGATATTGATAACATGTGAGACTAAATCAGGAACTTTAATTTGAAGATATTTCTTAAAAATTTTTACCAAAAATAGAGTCTTTTCAGTGACAGACATCTGTGGTCTCCGGCTGGTTCTGAGGAAGCCCAGTGTCAATTCCTTTGTATTCATACAGCACTGATTGACGATGTCCACTTGTCTGACACTGAATCCGTCCATCTGATGGGCTGTACGTTGAACATGCGCTGTGTTTCTTTGCTTGTGCGCTACTCTTGAACTGCATTCCTGAAATCTCGTTTTCTTCGTACATTCCATAAGGACCCTTCCCGTTTCCTACCGTATCACCGTTTTCCGGTTCATCATTTTCCAAGTTTGGACTAATGTCGTCATTAGTTGACAGCGACTGGACGACTGGTTGTTTGACGTTTGTTGGTTGCTCGTTAGTGCCATTTGTAAGGGGTGTTAAATCTGTCGCTGCACGGTCTCTTGGAGCTTGTGGGGAGTCAGGGTAGCCGACTGCATACGGCTGGATCACATAGTTGTCGTCATGCTCTAGGTCATCAATGCTGACCCCTGCTTGGGGCTGAAGTTGTGGTCCGAGTCGGTCATCATAGGCGACTCCATATGGCTGAATCTCTGACCCAGGATCTTGGTCATAGGCCACTGCGTATGGCTGAATAGTGTAGTAGTCTTCTGGGGTCTTGTTACAAAGAGGGGTGAGTCGCCCGCTTGTGGTTGAGTTTCTGCCATGTCCTTCCAGTTCAGTCGAGTCAGCATAGGTAATTGCATACGGCTCGATATTGTCGGTAGCTTCTTCGTCACTTCTGATGTAATGAGAGCTATCTGTACTACGACAGAGCTTGCGGATGGTGAGGACAACCGCTATTACCAACACGAGGGGAGGCACAACACCAGCGATGATCATGTTAGTGATATAGGTGATGTTGACGCCTTCGTTGATGATTGGGTCCTTCCCAAGAATAATGACATAGTCAACCTGAGTAGTATACTCGGAGACAGGCACGTTGTGCAGTATCTCTGTAACGTTATAGTCTTTAGTGAGAATGGTCTCGCTGTACGGGTAGGTGTTCAGGATTTGAGGACCTGTTGAGATAACGTCCCTAGAGAGTGTCGTCATGGAGGGTTCGCTGAATGGTTTGGAAACGATTTCTTGTGGTGAGCTTCCGTTGTTAGTGTGGCAGAATATGTTTTCCAGGGTAGTTATGTTAGTCCCGTGTAGGTCAGGTGGTGACGCACACTTCAGAGAATCAAATCCTGAAATAAACGGCAGGTCCTGCATACTGCAGATGAACCACGTTAGATTCTTGTCACATCGCAGCTTGTTGTATCCTATCCTCAGATTCAGTCGCTTAGCTTGCGACAAACGCGCGACATCTTTGTCGATAGTAGTAATGTGATTCATTTGAAGGTCTGCCATCAAGTATAGATGATCTCGCAGATCTAGTAGTGCGCTAACGGGAACTGAAGTCAGGCGGTTCTGAGGCAACCGTAATACATGAAGCCGTGGTAGGCCACGGAATGCATGTTGGGGTATTGTGGAGATCGCGTTCTTGTCGAGGAGTAAAGCAACTAATTTATCAAGCCCGAGGAACGTGTCAGGTTCTGAGGATAGATAAAAGAACGCGTATGAATCGTGAGAGACACTGAAATTCTAAACTAGGTGGTGAATTTTGTACTGTGTCGATATAGAAATCTTGAGTATGAAGTGAAATAGACCACTTAATGTAATTTCGAGTCTTTTCTTGCCAGATTTCCTCCTACATTCAGACATTCAGGAGGACCAATTTTAAGCTTGACCTTTGCCTTCCTAAGATTTACCCACATACTATATATAATCACAATCCATAAAATCCTTGTTATGCAAAGCACACACACACACACACACACACAAACACACACACACACACCAAAAACAATTTTCATGTAGGTAAAAAATGTACTATACATTTACGGCGAGGCACAAACACCACAAATTAAATCCCTTTCTATTAACTTACCGATGCTGAAGATGCGGTTGTCAACAAGGTGGAGGTGATTTAAGTGCCGTAGAGCCCGGAAAGCCCCTGCCTGTATCGTAGAAACGTTTGACATTCGGATAGTCAGATGAAAAAGTTTTAAAGGAAGGTTATGAAAAGATTGTTCAAGGAGCGTAGGAGAGGTGAGGTGCTCGATTAAGACCGATTCGGTGTTTCTTGGAAAGTCGGTTGGTATAGCGTCAAGACATACAGGAAAGATGTAGACTCCTCCGTTTCCAACCCAGCTGCACGGAGACCTCTTCCCGTTTGGTCGGGGGCAGCGGCATGAAATTGCCGCTTTCGTATAACAGTTGTCCGGGCAATGCTGGGTCGCTTCCAGCACGAAAAGGAAATGATTGGAGACCAGAAACAGCAAGACCAGTGTCTTCCTCTGCGCCATTTTGATTTCGTGTGCTTTTGTGAATTTCATCTTGCGTCTGTACTTTATGATGAGATGCATGAAAACGTGGCATTATATAAAATGTCCAGGACATTTATGTAAAATGTCCAGGACATTTATGTAAAATGTCCTTGCTTTTACCAAGGACGTGTAGATGTTATTAATAAGTCTATTGCCCTGTTCCATTTACTAATATTATAGGTTAATCAACTTTTGAACTTTGAACCCTCTGTCTGATATGTATGGAAATTTTCACCAGGGTTGTTTTTATATTGTTAATATTAGGCTCGATAGCCAATATTGAAAATAGAATAGAAATATAAAATTACATCTTAAAGTTATTTGCAGTTGGTTACATACCTAAAACTAGAGTTCAGCGATCTCATACATTCGCTAATGTTAACCTTTACAACCGTAAATATTTCTCATTGATTGTAAATAAAAACCTCATTAGCATGATTAGTTTATTAGTAAAAATCATTTAATAATTGATAATTCTCCACAAATTAAAAGTCTTATTTCAACAAAGATTATTTACCATTTCCCTATAAACTATGCAAATGTGGTCCTAATCTAAATGATTCACATAATGAACATCTGCAGAGGTTTTTTCATTCGTTTTTATTTCTGTCATAAGGTTGAAGGTTCCGGGTCAGAGTTTAAATCTGACCAGTAAGTGCGCAGTAAATCGCCGGAAACGTAACGTTGTTTCGTATGTTTTGGCCGCGATATCCCTGAAATCGTAATATCCGTGTACATATTTTTGTATTTTATGAAAAGACTGTTAGTTGTAGCCTTTATAAGTGGCGTAATGTTGGTGGTCCAGCGAAGACTTCCTGGTATCAGTCCGCGCGGATGGTTATGTGGCCTTGTCGCCTGACCGCCGGGATGGTACGTTCTATATGTGTTGTGGGTGTGTTTCGGTCATCGAAGATAGCGGTAAACGTACTGCATCGATTTTAATTAAATTGAAATTTCGAAAACATTAGGTACTGAGCTTCTTTAAGTACTAAGCCGTTACCCAGGAAAATATTCGTTTTAAAAAGATTGTTCAAGGAGCGTAGGAGAGGTGAGGTGCTCGATATAGATGGATTCGGTGTTTCGTGGAAAGTCGGTTGGTATAGCGTCAAGACATACAGGAAAGATGTAGTCTCTTCCGTTTCCAACCCAACTACACGGAGAAGTCTTCAAATTTGGTCGGGGGCAGCGGCATGAATTTGCCGCTTTTGTATAACAGTTGTCCGGGCAATGCTGGGTCGCTTCCAGCACGAAAAGGAAATGATTGGAGACCAGAAACAGCAAGACCAGTGTCTTCCTCTGCACCAGTTTGATTTTGATTTTTTTTTTTTAAGTTCTTGCCGCGATATCCCTGAAATCGTAATATCTGTGTACATATCTTTGTATTTTATGAAAAGCCTGTTAGTTGTAGCCTTTATAAGTTTCCATGCAGCCATGGTTAGAAATGACGAAAAAGGACCCCTTACTTAAAATGTATTTTGATAGGCCTTATTAACCCCTAAATAAGTTAGGCGCACAAAAACCATCAATCAAGTGTATTTATAAGCGACACGGCACCCCTTTCAATCAGAAGAGTGAAAAATTCCGACCTGCGTTTATTACAGAAATGACAGCCCGTCGGGCTGAGGGTGTCAACTTGCTACGAATACGGAAGAGTCAAGTCCTAGACCTTGTAGGTCGTGATATCTCTGATATTATACTAGCTGTGTACATATATCTGTGTATTCTCTGAAAAGCCTGTTGATTGTAGCCTTTTTAGGTGGCGGAATGTTGGTGGTCCAGTCCAGCGAAGACTTCCTGGTAGCATTTTTCTCCTGATTCTCTGGTGCGTTCTATGGCGTGTTTGGGTCATCGAAGATAGCAATAAACTTATCACGTCAATTTTCATTTTTCCACATTTTTCGGAAACATTGGATACTGAGCCTTCTTGACCAGTTAGCCGTTATCCTGCGAAATTTTGTTCCATGCAGCCATGTGTGAGAAATGCCGAAAAAAGGACCTTACTTTTTAATAGGCCTTATTTACCCCAAAATAAATAAGGGCGCAAGAAATACCAATCAATGTATCGATAAGCGGCATGGTATCCTCTTTACCAGAACAATGAAAAATTCAAACCCGCGTAACAGCGTTTATCACAGAAGTAACAGCCCGTCGAGCTAATTTCAGCGGAGTCAACTCTAGTGACTTTTTACGGTGTTAATTTGAAAGGTGACAATTTCTCCTGCCTCACCGTGAGCGGCTTGCAAAATTTCCGGCCCCATCTGTCCCGTTCTCTCGGAAATTCTGCCTCTCAAAGTGCGGTACATAGCGTTGTTGTGGACGACAAATTATTTTTTCCGATGATACCCCGATACAGACAGAAAACGGCTCTGTCCTTGGTGCTGAAGTCACTGTCCGGGCGGACAGGTTCTGTTTATATCTTACTTCTTTGTTTTATTCCTATATTCTTCTCATCCCTCTACCTGTTGGAATGAAGTAAATATACGTTTACATAGTACTGTCATACAACATGTATGAATTGTGCGATATCGATGCAATGCAAGGTATTGCAGACAATCAAGGGTGAAGTTCAACAGACAGGCAACAACATTACCGCAGAAATTGATGAATGCCTGGGAAACTTCAACCTTGCGGGCAGAGTCCGTGTAATGACCACGGACAATGCAAGGGCTATACTGTATGCCACAAACAAGGCTGGTGTGACAACCTCCCTTGGCTGTTTTGCCCATACACTAAATCTCACTGCTCAGAAAATGCTGAATGTGAAAGGTTTGCAATCACTGCTGGGCACAATCAGACCTGTAATCACGTACTTCCGGAAATCCTACTTTGCCAAACTCGTGCTGAAGGAGAAGCAACACGCTCTGCAACTGCCATGTAACAGTCTTGTACTTGACTGCAAGACCAGGTGGAATTCCACTTTCTTCATGATTCAAAGGTTCATGGAACAATGTGCTGCAATTATTGCAGCTACACTTGATACAAGAATCAAACAGAAACCAGAGTTCAGGAAAGTGCAGCAACTGGAAACCACAACAGTTGGGAAGCTGGACGCATCCCTCAAAGTAGCTGGACTTTTGCAAAAGATGACGCAAGTTATGTCTAGTGAGAAGTGGGCAACAGCTGGCATGGTGCTGCCAATGTTACGAATGCTGATGGAGCATTTCAAACCGGGCTCGTCATCCAAGGAAAGAGAAGAAGAAGACGATGACGACAAGTCTAAGGAGGTGGAGGCTTTCACCGAGGGTCTGGAGGCTTCTGCCTTAGAAGACCTGAACAAAAGGTATAAGGATGAAGAGGAGCTAGATTTCTTGCAGGAGGCAACAGCAATGGACCCTAGATTCAAGGGCACAGTGAAGGAAGAAAGTGTTTGGGCAAGACTGTGTGAAAAGATAACAGTCCACAGTACCTCCATCAAGAGAGACCAAGAGCCAGAGCAAGAGTCTGATGTCCAGCGAGTGAAGGATGAAATGAAGCCATTAAATGTAGAGGTCAAGGAAGAACCCAAGGCACCAAAGACCTTACTGGAGGAAATTTTCAATGACTATATCGAGATTACCTCTGTTGAGCCTCCTACGCCAGTAGCAGTCCGAGCTCACCAAGAGCTCGTCAAGTACAGGCAAATGCCCAACCTGCCAAAAGTTGGTGATCCCTGTCAGTTTTGGAAGGGAAAATGGAAGAACTGCCCATGTTAACTAAGTTTGCCAGGCAGTACTTGATCGCACAGGCAACTAGTGTGGCAAGTGAAAGGGTGTTTATATTTTAATTAGTACTGCAGGGGATGTAGTAAGTGCGGAAAGAGCCTGCCTAGACCCGGAGAATGTTAACATCCTGATATTTCTGAAGAAAAAAAAAACATAAGTGAAACTGTTAGTAGTACTAGTATTGTTATTCCGATTGTGTTCCTTCTTCTTATAAATATGAAGTTGTAATTGACTTTGAAAAGTTAGAGGAGCAGATTAGCAGTCAACTCGAGTTAAACTCCATTGTGTTTCTTCTTATAAATATGAAGTTGACTTTAAATAGTAGTCACTCACTCACTCAAAGTCATAATCAGTCACTCTGCAGTTCCACTTTGTACAGAATTAAATGATGTATGTTTTACTACATCAGAGTGATCAGACTGTTTTATTTCTGCTTCTTAGCTTGTGCATGTGCAGTAAAAACAACTATATCTATCCAATATACAACTTAAACATAATATTATGTACTACTATGTAGCAGTAGCAGTAGCAGACGCTACTACTAGCAGTACAGTAGCACACTAGTGAATGACCTGTACTTGTGTTTCGCCAGCCAAATTATGATATAGTACTACTGTACAATAATCAGGTTCAGGTCCGGACCTGGACCTGATCCTCTGAACCTGATCCGGACCTGAATTTTCTATACAGATACCCACCCCTAGAGTATTTTCTGACCAGCTCGTTAATTAAATCGTTTCTAGGTGGCGGAATGTTGGTGGTCCAGCGAAAACCCTGTTTAAGCGGCGGAGTGATCTCGCCTTTTCTGAGGGAGACTTGTATCTATTAGTAACGTATCGATAAAAGTGGCGCACTGGAAAATATGACTCATGTTTGGGACCGAAAAATAGTATTGCAAAGTTATAGTGTTGATCCCTTTGCATGGGGTGCTTAAATATGCACAACAATGACATATGCGGTTGTTACGTATGCCGGAGTTTGGACCCCCTTTTTTGTTGGAACGTTCCACAAGAAAGCGAGTCAAAAACCTGCCGTGACTACAAACTACGGTATGGAACGCTACCTTGAAAAAAATATATATACGCATGGATAGCTTTAATCTCGGATATTTTGCTGTTTCAAGATCTAACCTTATTTTTGTTGGGTTACGGGTCAGATGTACAGTAATAAAAGTTGCCGGACTTAGGACCCCTCCCGTTAACAAAGTTACCCTCGGGAATTTTGTTCCATGCAGCCATGTGCGAAGAACCTTATCTATTTTAAGAGGCCTTATTTACAAAAAAATAAATAGGTGACAAACACATTAATCAATGTATTGATAAGCGGCATGGCACACCTTTCGACCAGAAGAATAAAAAAAATTCGACCCGCATTTATTATAGAAATGAGGGTCAAATTTGCTACGAACACAGAAGAAACTCCGGTCCGAGACTAGGCATGTTTTTGCAGTATTCCTTCGCAGCTAAAAAGGAAATACCGAGGTTTTAAACATTATCAGGGCAAACGATAACACATGTTATGTCTAAGAAGTCTAGTCTTTAGTTGTTGATAGTACACAGACCCGGTAAATCCGAAAAAACGATACCTGACACAATGCCCGCCCGCAACCTTGTTGACACAGCCATACAGCTCGTCCGCTGTAAGTCCAGGAATGACCAGAAGATAAGATTTATTAAAATACATTCATATTTTCTTTTATTATGTCCATTGATCAATTCAATGACATTATGCGTGTAAATGTGTAATATTCTACATTAGAGGTTGACTTGAAACATCAGGGTGGCTAGGAATTATGCATTTAACACACAAATTTGCCACGTTTGACGCACAACTTTCAAGTTCTTTCCTCCCAGCGTTCGATCCGCCATGTTTTGCTGCCGTTGCCATGGACACGGGTTCTATTTACTACACAGATGAGAAGTTGCTAGCTCTCGAAGCAGGTGGGGTTTCTTTTTTCTCCACTCGTAGGTTAAAAATTTGGCTGAATATTCATGTAACAGTACGAATCATAGTCAGATATTACTCCTACGTTTTCTCAGCACATAGTCGGAACTGTGGGGCGATGGAAAGTGGAAGTTGTAGTCAGAAAAGCGCCGAAAAACATTCGATTTTTACGCTAACTTGATAACACGAGGTCCAAGCCACCATATTGTATTACCACCACCCGTTGGGACAACACCAATATGTTTTAATCTTCGAAATTTTACCCCCAGTTTCTTTTTTACAACATTTTAAGACTTATAATACTTTTGCTTATTCCGAAAAGGCTGTTCTACGTTAGTTTTTATGACTTTTGTAGGCGTTGTATCATCTACGTTACGAAGTCAACAATGGCGACAGCAAAGTCAACCAAACAGTCAAACTTCAGCGTTGAGCAGGAGTCGGTGTTTAGAAGGATGATCCGAAAAGTGAGAAAAGGATCAACAGAAGACGATTTGGAAGTTGGCAGTAGAACCAAGGTAAGCTTTATCTTTTTCTTAGCAAGTTTTTACCGTCGGTGTAACGCGTTGTTGTTTGTGTCAGTTGAAGTAAACAACGTAAGTTTAGTAGCCAACATAATTGTTGGATGAATTTTGTTTTTGTTTTAAAAAGGTAACGTTAGTAAATTTTTTTGTGGATGCTTCATTAGGTCAAGTAAATTTAGGTTAATATTTCAATGCCACGAACTGTGTATTTAAACCAAGAAATTTGTTTTTGATAATTCAAATAATCGTTAAAACCTATTTTGAAGCTATAGACTAGATACAATACTACAATGTATAGCAAACTTTATGACTCTTCAATCTGATTTAAGCCCATTTCGAGAAATGCTTTAATTACTAAATAGCCTAAATGCAGATTATAACTAATATTTTGCCATTGGCCCAAAACTTTGAAATGCTAGTAGTCAAATTAGTTATATTTGGAAAGTTACATAAGGTGGATTACAGTACAAGAATTCTTTCTTGTATATCATTTCTATGGTTTATTTGAACATTTGTTAACATATGTTAACTCAAGCAACATCAATGTATAGTTCATTGGTTCTTGAATTTTAAGAAATGGTGCTGAACTGAAAGATAAACATGACAACATAATCTATGGGGAATTAGACTCTAACTTGGACCACATAGTTTAAAAGACTGGTGCATTTACCAAAAAAGAATCCTTCTATCCCTCTGTTTTCATTTTGACATTTTGTTTCATTTTTAACCCAAAATGTCCAAGAACCAGTGAAGTTACTTGATATGTTTTTATCATGTTTTTATTCTTTGCTATGTTTTCTCTGTTTTGATATTGCTCTTAATGTGGTATATTCCCTTTTCTACTCAGCCAAGTCAGAGAGGAGACACAGAACACTCTTTAAGAGAGTAAGAACTCAGTTTTAGTCAGCTTTAGCTACTGCCATTTATAGTCAGAAGTAGTCAGACAGTTGAGCTATAATTGTGAAACAAGGAAAGAAAAGACCCAGGCTTTACAGTTTTTATTTGTTTAGGCCACACCAATTTAAGTTGTTGTGTCTCAGATTTGCCTCTTCCTTTTTTTCTGATTTACAAAAAAGAAATTCTGGACCTGAATCAACTCATATATATGCTCATATTTTGCCACCATAAGTCGAAGAAAGTTCTTTTCTTTCTATTTGTTACAGTTTTTCCATCTATCAATGCAGTGGTTTGATTTTGTTTGATTGAAAATTTATCATTTAAGTATTAACCCAGCCTTTTGTGTTGACTTCATGGCTCCTATTGTAGCATTAATGCGGCTATACTAGGATGCCTGTTTTTATTTTAATTTTTTTTCACCCTGTTGCTTTATATGTTTTCTGAAAAATCTGACAACCAACAAATCAAATTGGTGTGGCTTATCTAACATACCAATACCAAGTAGTGGGGGGGGGGGGGTTAGAATTGTTCATGTTAGAAAAGAAATGTCTCAGTACAATACCAAATACTTTCACTAGGAAGATTTTAAAATTGACAAAGTAGTGAAGCACAAAAATATAAAGTAGTGAAGCACAAATATCATATTTTTTCTTAATAATGATGGCAGACAGAGATACATAACTGTCTTAAAATATCATGTAATAATAACATAGTCACTTACTAAATTACTTTTGTTTTCTTTTTCATTTTAGAGCCAAAGAGTGCAGAGGTGGCCTTCTGGGACATCTACAAGACCTCCAGATGTAAGTAATAACTGCATACTTACTTTCCCCAAAACATTGGCAAATGTAAAATGAGAGATTAAAAATCTATCCAACAGCATATTAAGTCCAACAACTGTGACAATGTAAAATGCAAATCAAAAGGTGTGTTATTATTTTATGCTAACCAATCTTAACATACTTTAGGTCATGCTTTGTTTGAGTTATATAATGCTAACAGGCTGGCAACTGAGATGTCGCATCTTAGAGAGTCTCAAAATTCAATATGCTTAAATCTTAGGTGAACTATCTAATGATAAAGTCTAGCCTTACTATTACTGTTATAACATCATGTGTCACCCTATGCTAATTAAGCAGCAAGTCAGCAAAATATTCATACATACAAACCAGCATAGATTTAGCAATTAGAAGAGAAAAATTCTATTATATGTTATGAATTATTATATTGTTAGAAATATTTAATCTATTACATATGCACTACCAAAACTGCTTTTTCTTGTTTTGCTTGTATTTCGTTGTGTAAAGAGATTTTTTTCGTCAGCAAGAATATTATCCTTTGAACCAGATTCCCTGTAGGAAGAAAATGCAAGAAACCCACATTGTTCTTGTTATAATTTTTTTGCAGCTAATGAACCAATACCAAGAATATTGTTCATATTAGAAGTGCAGGTTCATTCACGAAAAAATGTCTAGCTTCCTTAGCATCTGTCCACAACAAAAGATTTCTTGAACTAAGATCTAACTCTTTTTGTAGTGAAAAAACCTTTACATATTGTACACAAGAAAAGATTTCTTGAACTAAGACCTAAATTTTCTTATAGCAAGAAAACCATTCTGCCTGCAAGAA